ATAGAGGTGAATGTCTTCTAAGGCACATTGTTACAAGACAGCAATTTACTTACTCACCGCAATGTATTGAAAATTAAGCAATGCTTTTTAGTCAATGCTTTCCGAACTACATTGAACTTATTCTTATCCAGTGTAACGTCGATTTAGGGTCATGCGGTCCGTAGCTGACTAACCAGCGATCGCTCAACTCATCCTGATCATCCATGATAGGCCAAGTGACACGGAAACTGTTTGGATGTTGTGGTTCCCGCCACAGCCACGTTCTCTGTTATAGATAGCCTTTACAACAGAAATGTCACACATGATTGGCGATCAGGCATGAGCAGTAAGATAAACTGACAGCTAGCATTGGTTCGTAGATCGATTCGTAAACAGCCTCTATGCCAGAAGACTTGGGAGAAACACACTAGTGTGGCGTCTTTCAATTCTTCCTGAACTGTATATTTAAGTGCAGAACACCAGCAACAGAGTCAAACGCTATTGAGAGGTCCTTCACAAGTTATGCGGAAGAGGCTAAATCTTTTCTTTTGTATGAGACCACTCATATAGTTGATGAAAACTCTTGGATAGCCCGCTACCGGTTTCGTCTCTTTTGCGGTTCATTAGGCAGGTGTAGTTTTCGTCGGTCATATTCCACGCTGGAAGACTAATTTGGACTAATATAAAGTGAAATGTTTGCAGAGTAAGCTGATTGTGTTGGCAGGGGACTCGAGTAAATCTTTGGTTTGTAATATTCTTCGATTAAGCGTAGTACAGAAGGCCTATTTATATTTTATCTGGAACGCTATTTATGCATCGCCATTCGAGGTATCATACGACGCCCATAAGGTTCATGGGAACTCTTGGTTCTTAGCTTAGAGAATAGTTCGATAAAATCGGCATTGAACTTTTTACCGAGCGATAACACTCTGGTCAGTTCTGACAGTTTTCGCCGGAGAGCGAAAGGTCGTCGTAAGGTTCATGAGAACTCTTGGTTCTTAGCGTAGAGAATAGCTCGATAAAATCGGCATTGAACTTTTACCGAGCGATAACGCTCTGGTCAGTTCTGACAGTTTTCCCCGGAGAGCGAAAGGTCGTCACCTTATGTAGGTTGCCACCCAAATCTGCATATTGAAAATTAAGCAATGCTTTTTAGTCAGTGCTTTCCGAACTACACTGAACTTATTCTGATCCAATGTAGCGTCGATTTAGGGTCATACGGTCCGTAGCTGACTAACCAGCGATCGCTCAACTCATCCTGATCATCCATGATAGGCCAAATGACACGGAAACTGTTTGGATGTTGTGGTTCCCGCCACAGCCACGTTCTCTGTTGTAGGTAGCCTTTACAACAGAAATGTCACACATGATTGGCGATCAGGCATGAGCAGTAAGATAAACTGACAGCTAGCATTGGTTCGTAGATCGATTCGTAAACAGCCTCTATGCCAGAAGACTTGGGAGAAACACACTAGTGTGGCGTCTTTCAATTCTTCCTGAACTGTATATTTAAGTGCAGAACACCAGCAACAGAGTCAAACGCTATTGAGAGGTCCTTCACAAGTTATGCGGAAGAGGCTAAATCTTTTCTTTTGTATGAGACCACTCATATAGTTGATGAAAACTCTTGGATAGCCCGCTACCGGTTTCGTCTCTTTTGCGGTTCATTAGGCAGGTGTAGTTTTCGTCGGTCATATTCCACGCTGGAAGACTAATTTGGACTAATATAAAGTGAAATGTTTGCAGAGTAAGCTGATTGTGTTGGCAGGGGACTCGAGTAAATCTTTGGTTTGTAATATTCTTCGATTAAGCGTAGTACAGAAGGCCTATTTATATTTTATCTGGAACGCTATTTATGCATCGCCATTCGAGGTATCATACGACGCCCATAAGGTTCATGGGAACTCTTGGTTCTTAGCTTAGAGAATAGTTCGATAAAATCGGCATTGAACTTTTTACCGAGCGATAACACTCTGGTCAGTTCTGACAGTTTTCGCCGGAGAGCGAAAGGTCGTCGCCTTATGTAGGTTGCCACCCAAATCTGCAAAAATACTTCGATACGGAGTTCGTCCGACAATGGCTAAGCTATTCGTCTTTCCTTCCGTACCTGTCCACCGGGTTGCTTTGTGTCCCACTTGTTCTTTTTCTTAAACACACAGCTTGCTCGCGATATCGTACATACTGGGTGGGATGCACCAAACTTGGTCTTAATCGGTCCAGTGATGCGATCCCCTTGGAGGTTAAGCCTTCAGTACCCACCGGGTCATTGCTTGCGAGTATCATTTTGTCACATGGCATTTGCCAATACAGCTATTGTTACCAGAAGACCTAAGTTTGCATATTCCCAAATTTGTTTTTTTCGCGTGCCTGTGTTTCTTCGAATTCGAGTGTCAACTGTCCTTAACTCACGGCTTTTCCTAAGAACGGGATCCACGTAGTTGTACAAAGTTCATTGGAGTTGTTGGTTAGTTGACGAGATTGAAGAACAAAAATTACAGAGTATAAAACAGCTCGGGTTGGAATAACTCATCGGGGCAGTTCTCTTTGTGGCAAACCGAACCAGGTGGACCACATCACACCTCGTAACAAAGAGATAAAACGAAGGAAGACGTTCAGCTGTAACACCCTTTCGGTGCCTAGCTACCATACTGCCCGAAGGAAGCACGAGGACTGGGATACTTCCCGTTTGCCCAAGCCGAGATGAAGCGGTCGGGCTCGAATCACGGACCTTCCGGTCAGTAAATTTGCACTCTAAACACTGAGTCATCTCGCCTCCATAATAAAAAAAATCAAAATATGAGATCCCTTTGCCGTTCGGTCAATTTTTCGCCTCATACTCTCTATATCGATGACAGTCGATCAACCTATTCTTTCTAAGCGAACTTGGTTGTTGTCACGGCGAATGGCTGTTCACTTCAGCAGAATTTATTATACGCACTGACTTTGTTCAGTGGTGTCGCTAGGTTCTCCAGGCCCTGGACTTGTGAGTGCATTCCAGCAACTCAAGTGTTGTCACAACGAAGGGCAGTTGGTTCCGCACATGATACACCCCTTGGGTAAGCGTAACCAACACTCCACATCTTGGTGTGGTCAACCCGCAGCGGTGGCTTGAACCAGTATTTTCCACCAGTACTTTAAGCGTAACAGCGTTGGTGCGACAACCCATGACTAAAGCACCCATCCGTCGATGTCAGCGCCACAGAACCCCAAACAGTCAACAGTTTTGAAAGAAGCTAGAAACCGTGGAAATGGAGTTTTGCATCCTTACAGAGTACAAGGTCGACAGAGTTGAAAGTACATTCCAAAAGTAACTGTCATCGCATATTCCAAATTAACATGGCGAGAGAGCTTTATGAACAGTTTCTTTACTCGAGGTTTCCCCTACTGCCAACCATAAGAAGCAAGTGGAAAGAAGAAATAAGTCATCACTGGCTGAGGAAATCTGAGCATTCGCTGACCGAATTTGTGGACGGTATCGTCATCGGCTTGAATGGAACCTCCATGTCTGTTAACGTTTAAATTGCGGCACACCGACATAACCAAGTTGCTATATCCGCATTATCGCGAAAAATAATCGATGTGCTGTCTAAGCCATTTTTCTCCACATCACCAGCGATATTTTCACGAGTTTAATATCGGTAAGGCGGAATTCACAGACTATGCCTGTAGCCAGCTTTCACGTGAAGTCCTTTTTCTCTGAGTTTTTCCAGTTGTAATTTTAGTACCAGTCAAGAAAGAATGGAACTGTGCTTCGTCATTCTAAAGATCAAGTGGTCGTAAACCGATATCAACCCCTCGAGATGTCTAATGATTTTACGGTGCACATTATCAGTCATTGCACCAGGTAATACAAAGGTTTCCAGTCAGTGATAACAGTTCCGTGGTTAGTGGAGGCTTGGGAAGAGTACCTGTGGACAATTTGAAATAGTTCAACCAGTTTGTTTGTCAGTTTCCTTATAAAGGTGCCACGACGGTCATATTTTGGGGTGAATTTTCAACCTTTCATTTCCTAGTGATACCAAACTCAATATTTTTCTTGTTCCAGAGGCATTAACTACTTGAAACCCCGTCGCTGACAGCAACCCACCAGTACTACATACTGGCACATAACTGCATTTGTATCGATCTGTGCATGTTTGATGCATTTTGGTTAGACTGGGTTGTGCAGTCAATAACTAGTCTTTCTTAGCGACAATATCACGGTAAAAGCCATGATGAGAACAGAAGCCCGTTGTGTGTTGGTTGTGCTGTCCATCTGGGTGTCGTGTTCACAGTCAGCTGCTGTTCCCACACTGTTGGCCAACGTGTCGCTTAGTAAAGCTAGTCTGAAACTCAACTCCCTGAACGACTTGGCAACGCTGGTGACTAAAAACAGCCAAGCAGTGCTATAGGCTCACCTGGAGCGAAATACGGCAGTGCGTAGGACTGACGATCTGGTTGAGGTTCTGGGACCAAGATCACATGAAGTAGCTAATGATTGAGGGGACAAATGTCCGCTTTGATTTTGGCTAGTTTACTACAAAGCCTCAATTTACGTGCATCTCGTTCAGTTTCCGGCCCGAAAAATCTTTATGGCATGTAAATTTAAGCAGGATCGTTTTTCCGAAGTTTGCATTTCAGCATTCCTGTTATTCGGTTTCACGAAATTTCGCAGTAATACCGTTGTTGCACACCCACGAACCAGCGGTTCCAATGGAAATTGGATGTCCTACACAGACCTTAATTTCTGGAGGTCGGCGAGTTTATGGGAGTATTTGAAATTCAGAATCCTAAAAGAATTACTTCTGTATTCTATTTTTGAACTTGAAGTACTTGTCGTCACATCTAGTATTTGTTGATTCCTGGAATCGGTAACTGAGCGGGATGCATCTGTTATCATAAGATACCAGACTCACGGATAATATCCATGCAGACGGCTTACAATAAAACACCATCCAGCCACTTTTATGTAATCGATGTACCTTTACTCAATTCTCCTTACTGACCAACTAAATGAACTCAATCGATTAATTTGTTTTCAGAAAATCAAAATTGAGGCACCACCAACTTCCACAACTCCACCAACACCGGATACTTCAAGCCCGATTGGTGTCAGTTCCATCGTGCCGCCAACCTCTGTTCAGACGCTCACAGTCGCCAACATACTGACGCCCAAACCAAACTCCGCACCACCGGTTATTTCCGTCAATCAGAATGGTTTCTGTCCCGTCCCAACTTCCCTGAACCTACATCAGTCTTTCGTTGCCGATATGACACAATCCCACATATGCTCCACCGTTTTGCCGAGCCCACTCTTGCCCACATCCTTCCCAGGAAATCAGTTCCTTGCATATTCTGCCTGTCCTTCAGTGCCAGCATCCTGTTCAGGACCGGTCCCACAAACCTTTATACCCACATTGCCTTCAGGCCTATCCTGTGACTTTTCAACACTACCCAAACCTAGCAGCTCTGCTAACTCACCGGCCATCACTCTGTTATCAGATTTAGGATCGGGTAACTTGTACTACGGCACAGACGAGAAGTCACAGAATGATGGTTTATGCTGTCACTGTGGAGCACCCTCAACCAAGGAAGAAGTGTTTTTAATTTGCAAAGATTGTGGTCTGCGTGGTAAGTCCTCCTCCATCTTAATTGACGTGGTTTGCTTCCCGATTTTGTATTGGCTAGCTTGTATTTATATTTCCTACTCAGGGCTCAGGCTGACGGATAGGTAGAAGTTAGGGTAGGTTAGCTCGCGGTCTGCATCTGACCACCATTTACGACCAGATGAGCTGTGGTGTTTATTTGTGGTGGTCTAGACGACGTCGACGTAAAATTCGAGTACAATTGAACACTTTTTGATTCTAACGTCCACTCGGTTCTTCTAAGGAGGTTATTAAGCGATCGGTCATCACCTTCAACTATGTGGTATGATGCTGCGTATACTGTTTTCAGACCCACCACGAGACCATTCATCGCCTTTAGGTAGTCCAATCCGGTGTGACCGGCGTGCTGACCTGTCTAGACACATTTTTTTGCGCTGCCTATGCCTACCCAGTGTATGAAAGTAAGATATTAGGCTTCGAGACAGCACTATTATGTACACTGCTTTCGATGGGTTTGGTTCAAGGCAATAGCTACTAAAACAATGCCTTCTTCGGTGTCGTGCTTACTAGTGCAAAACGTACCCTTTCCACAATACGTCGACAGCATGTGTCTAACCCACTAGCATGCTTTCAGTTGTTTCAGTCTGCATACAAGTACAGCACATACTGTATTTAATCCATATATTTCTGTTGATCCCATGTGATTGATTTCCGGATTTATAGAAACTAGTTGAATTACCAAACAAACGAAATTCTCTTGATAAGTTTTCTCCAACGAACTGAGAGCCATGGACTAGATACACTTGCACCTATAGTTGACCTAATTTAAACATGAAGTGCTATCGACTTTTGGTGTTCAGGCATCGTCAGCGTCATTGATCTGTGAGGTGTTTGAACTGGCAAAAGGACAACATTCATTGATTTGCACACAGACACCGTCAAGCATTTGGCCACGAGCGCCGTTTCGCCTTTTGAAATAACACTGTCTACTATCCAAGGAAAGAAAATTTTCGGATCTGTTATTATCTATCGATTGACAGTTCTCTTGATAGTGTGGACAATCGGGATATTTTTACTGGACCAAAGATTGAACCTGCACTCCTGATTGAATCGCATCGGTTCAGTGGGTTATTATGTATGGAACACCTATTTCATGTGGATATCCTATGGAGGAATATGGCCCTAGTGCGTTCCGGCATCCTAAACCGATGTATCCAGGATATAGCCAGACACAGTCGACTTTGACCCGAAGTGCGATTTACAACAACCTGACGCCTATTGCTCCCGTCGATGGGTTTATTCAACGAGCACGACTAACTGGAGTTACAGGATTGACTTCGTATTCTCACCATTCGTCTTTCGCAAACCACTCTTCCAGAACACTCTCGGTATTTGCCAGGGGAATGCAACCCCAGTCTCATTCATTGTCTCCCGTACGTTTTGGAATAGAAAATTCTGGTCCTAAAAAGCCTAGGTTTCTTCAGGACGGATCAATAGGTCCGTATCCCCCTACAGTTTACACCTCTTTCCAAACAGCTGGTGGTCTTTCAAGGTTTAATTACTTGGGGTCTCACCCATCTGTTTCGTTACCCAGGTCCCAGACACTGACACGTCTTAGTCTACCCGTTAGAACAGCTATCTCTGCCCCTATTCTACGCCCAAACACTCCATGGACAACCCTGTTTCAAGGAGCGAGACCATCTTCAGTAGTCTCTAGTGTTAACTCTTCCATCCATTCAACTTCCACATCATTTCACTCCGCTGCAGTCGGCACGCAGTTGCTTCCTGCCAAGACGTCTATGTCAGGTGTGTCATCAGATTTACGTCCTACTACCAGTACTGCTGCATCAGACTTCAGGCCCAATACTCAGCAGCTTATTTCTTCACAGTCAGAACCGCAAAAAAATAGCGGAAAATTGGAAGTTGGATGTTCACCCCTCTTTAAACACGAGCCGCGTAAGCGTAAGATGCCACCAGTGAGTGGATCGTTCGCATCTGCTGCTGTGCCTGTATCGGATAGCAACCAGCAAACGAGCGCAACCGTATCAGATCCTGTTCCTGGTTGCGATGGCCAGCGGTCACGGTCGACGGATTCCGTTTCGGCAAGCTCAGGGCCCCATCACTCTTCAGTTCTTCTTGATTCCGCTTCTGCAAGCAGATGTTCAGATAATTTGAAAAGTACCACTTATGGAGATCAGGCCGTTGCACCACAGTGCATATCATCTCTGGGCAGTCCCCAGACAACATTTTCACACTTTCCCCCTGGTTTTCAAAATGCCCGTGGCAGTGCAAATAGGTTCGTTTTCCAAAACCCATTGAGGAGATCTAACAGTTCCAGTCTACTCCCCATTCTCCCCAAAACGGCTTCTTATCTGTCGACTCGGCCGTTCGGTGTAGGTCGCTCCATTCCAGTTTTTCTTGAGCCGCACTTACAAGCTATGGCAGCACAGGGGTCTTTAAATCCTCCCATGACATGTACTTTACCAGGGACTGATGTACTAAGTCACCCTTCACCACACCTTACACATTCTATGGACGATCGTCCAAAGTTTGGGGCTGACTTAAAGTTGTTTCTCGTTGAACCGATATTCCCAATGTCGACCTCGGAAGACTACTTATGGGGGCGGAAATTTTTTGGCCAGTCAAACCCTCAACAACTAATATACACGCTCATTCACGTCGTCAGTCGCGTACTTGGATTACGAACTGGTCAACAACTTCGCTATGGTCTTAGTGGGCAACTGCACTTTGTCGTACTTCCGACCTCTGCTATCCCAGACAATCACTCGGCGACGACCATGGATAACTTTGGTAAAGAGTATACTGGCCCAATTAGACTGGTCGATGCGGATATATTCCACTTGGATTATGAGTGGCTATTACGTTGTTCTCAGGTGCGACTGCTCTATGTGCCACATATGGGTCCACCCATGCTAGATACAGGTGAAAGCCCGGAATTCAGTGTCCAGGAATTTGGCCAATCGGAAGTCTCATCAACTCGTCCGCAAATTGTACCTCGTAACCTGAGCGATCTACTGACTGGTCAGTCCGTGAGGTCACGGCTGACTAGAACAAAAAAGGCGTCAACAAATTTCGGCTACCTGTTTGGCCATTTTCCCGCCAATAATCATGCATGCTGTTTGACTTGTTTGCATGCATTCTACTTGTCGAAGAGACCCAAGTGAGTTTTCACCCTAGTCATTTCTTTTTGTTTTCAATACAGGTGGCCCCTTTTTGATACGGTATTGCCGTTTCTCTATCTATTGCCTGGCTCTAAGGTGGTCCAGTTCACGTGGACACAAAGATGACGCCTATTTCTTGACTTGGCATTCCAACACGACTGAGCCGTTTTGGTTTCATCATCGTCCGGTTGGGGCCGCATGTTTGTCGGAAATTCTCCGCACCATCCTCACTGCGCTGAATTGGGCTGAGCTAGCACCCAAGGATCTTGGTCTGTGTACCACAGAATTGAACGCATCTTATGGACTGTTCGAACGAATCAGCCAAAGGAACCGTGCCTGGGTATGGGGCACCCATACCACAACACATACTCCTTCTGATCTCAGGAAAGGCACAGAAGATGATACGAAGATATCATGAAAGAGTGAGCTCCTGAGTCTAAGATGAAGCATTCTCATCTGTTATCCACTTTACGTCCCAATGAAAGTAGGCTTGTCAGCTCTAAGCTGTTCTAGTGTTCGACCGTTTGTGTTCCAAATTTTGTTGAGAAACGTATTAGTTTTAAGCATTTTAGTTCAATGACCCTCCTATTTTATTATGTTTACAGCCCATCCAACTTGCCTCGATTATTGGCCCGAATTGACGGAACGCGCACGTCAGTCACCTTGGCAATGCACGGACTGCAAAACGTGTACTGTATGCCAGAACAAACAAATCACGGTAAGCGAACGTAAAACTTCATCTGCCAGGCACCCGTCATATGAACTAGCGACAGTTCATGCAATGAGGTCATGTAGCTACGTTCACTACGTTCAATCAATATCTGACATGTCATATGAAAGCCCAGTATGGCTAATAAACGGCTGCGTTCGGTAATGTTGCAAAGCTCTCTTCCGGCATCCAGTTGCTGTCGTCACGACAGGTATATACGAATAAATAAATAATTCAAAGAAAAACCTTGCGATATGTATCTCTAAAACTATTTCCACTGTCAACGTACAGTTTTGCTCAACGGCTCATTCCATATCGTGCATGAACACGTTAGATTAGGATTTTTACCTGGGGCGGCGTTGTTACATGAAACAGTTGGTCAGGTCAGTTTTTCAGCTATAGGCCATGTACTACAGTGAAACTATTCCAACCGATACAGTTCCGTTCATTGAGGATAAAGTGAATAAGTAAATTATAGCCTTGCGTTGCAAGTGATGGCCCAGTCAGCTCACTGAAGTTAAATTGTCTCGTTTGTCCATTCTGGTAGGGAGTAATAGAGCACTAGCACTAGTAATAGGCACTAGCTTTGGTGGAAGATTGCCACTGGCTGTATGGTAGCCAGATCTATTGGGGTCAGCAACCATCGGTTTGTCACGTCTTGGAGCTCCCCATTCGGGGATACGGCAGTTACTGGCGCGACCGATTTAATCGGTAAGGACGTTCTTGCCCCGCTGCCGAGTCTTGGACTGACCGCTTCTGAGTTTTCTTCACCCACTCGATGGATGGGTGAAGAGGTAAAGGGCCTGCTATAGGAATTACATGGCCGAGTCAGCGTGACCTGTGGAGTGTGACCAGCCGATCAGTCGAGGTAGAGCCACCCTTCCTTAGGACCATCCGGCGCACATCAGCATTACTGATCTGATAGTTCCACTGGACCCGCTCAGTGCTTCGGAGGCACCGGTGGGCTAACACATAGTCCTCGAAGGTCTTTTTTATGCAGCCATCACGCCTCTGGTCCATAAATCAGCATTGTACACCATCCTTGATAGCCAAGTTGGTGTCACGTCGGGCCAACAAAAAATCTTTCAGCGTTAGCATCCTTTCGGTGCCTAGTTGCCATGCCACTAGAAGGAAGCACGAGGGCTGGGATACTGTCAGGTTGCCAAAGCCTAGACAGAGGAATTCGGGATGCAGAGGTCGGGTTCGCACCATGGACCATCCAGTCAGTAATTTCGCGTTCTTACCACTGAGCCATCTGGTCCCCTCGGGCCCACAAGTGATGGAGGTTTGCAAACACTGCCCAAGCCCTTCCGATTCGAAATTGGTTTAATGATTTTTCAGTCCACTGGGGCTTATTAGCTGTCCAGATCTACCACATCCTACGAATCATCTGAACCATGAGGTTTGCGTTTGATCCCACTCAGCCCGCGCATGCTGAGCCGTGCGAAGTAATTGTCAGATTTTTCAATCACACTTCCAGGCATACCTAGTTTTGAACAATCGATCGTTCGATTTTACAATTGGCGTCGCACTACCTTCGGTTCTAAAGTCTCTGTCAGAGGTTATGTACCAGACGAGTAATTTATCCTCCATGGATCCTTTGGCACCATGATTTTCCCTTCACCAATTGCACTGAATATCAGCGATATGTCTGCTTATTTATCGTGTTTCTTTATTCACATGAACTCGATTTGCACACCTGCTCCTGCACACCAGAGATAATAGAATAGGGCAATGTATGGGGGCCTTGTCAATAACTGTTATATTGTTAAGAGTTTTTATACCCGTTTTGATGTAAGATTCTCGGTTGTTGCTATTCATACCTGATCTGCAGTGTGACATCAGACCGCCAATTTGTCTACACTTTCATCAGTCCAGTGTTTCGGAACACACTATATCCCACCGTTTCTTGTATTCTCTATCGAGTCTTAAATTCCGAGTCGTGTTTGTCCATGATTTCGATTACCCTAGTTTCCTCGAGGGTCCACTGCCAAACATTACTCAAAATCGCTATTTCTGGTTTTGCCAAACTTTGAGCAGAGTTCGTTTATCTGGTCTGTGAATTTCTATACCCGAAATCTCCCCGGCTTCACAAGGCATTTGGCATTTAGATAAATAGGTTCGCAAACTTCTTACACCCTGACACCTCACTATTCCATGTTTTCTTCCTGTTGAGTCATCATAAGACGTCTCACTAAATTCCTCAAAGTGACTTTGGAAATCCACAAGTGTCAACTTGATGTAAAGCAAAGGTATCCCTTAAGATTTTTAATGTGGCGTATGAAATTCGAAGAGCTGCATGCTTCTTAAGGCATTTAGACTTGACATCGAATTGTCCTTAGACTTTTATCGAGATATTGAAAAGACTTTTTGTGATGAAAAATGTTTGGTTGGCTAGTATTAAGTAAACCGGAGTGAACACAAAAGCTTACTGCAAAGAACAGTAACGTGAATTGGCATGAACAATTTGATTTCCTTAGCTGATCATTAACCCTTACGGAGAATTCGGTTATCATTAAGCAGTTAGTTTGCACTTATTTGGGGACCGGAATTTCGGATAACTTAGCATGTGGCTGTTGTTAACTCCACTCTGATGCGAGCGGGAGGCCCGTGAACAAGCTCACCACTAACGTACTGTAGTCCCTTTTTACAGCACCGGTGAATGAGATCAACCGAAAACAACCAATTCAAGCGGTTGAGTAGTCTACGGTGTGTTTTCCGTCGGCGCTTGTCCGTCACTACAATGTGGGTTCATATAACATCAACGGTTATCTTTTAGATTTTTGGAAGGAACGTCGTCACTTGGTGTTAAATACTAACTTAAAAATTGAGGTGCAAAGACGTGACTGAATCTGTCGTTTGATCTTCTTCAGCGGAATACTCCATCATGTTCTGCTGGAACTAGTTTCCAAGACTGATGGAAATTCAGAGACTAAGCCTACTGACTAAAGCCGGTCATCGTATCCCAGTTGCACATGTTTGACTTATTGACTCTTGTCAAAATAAGAAAATTCCATCATAATCTGACAAAAGCAGACACCAGCGGACTGTCTACATTGCGAAGGTATATGAGGAGAAATAAACGGCTCTTGTTAGTCGACTCTCTGAAGAGGAGACATCCTGTCTAATATAAGGAGGGAAGGATTCGCGCCCATTTGCTCTGGATGTGTGCAGAATACTGAACCTTATAACTATAACTTGCTCACATCTGACCGTCCCAGTTGGCAGTTCACATTGCATGTATCTTATTCCAAGCTGCTTAGGAATTGATATTGTTCAACGTTAAAGTGGGTTTTTCTGTGTGGCAAGGGATTATCCAGAATCCGCTCATAACCTTTGAGAGTTTGCACTCTGGATGCACTGGAAAAAAATACGTTTTGAGCATGGTTTGCGGCGTAAAATTCCATGCACCTCCTAGTTAAGTCTTCTCGGAAGGCGTGAACACGAGTGGCCCGGCTATGGACGTGGTAGTAGCACTACAACGGACGTCAACTATTCCGAGTTCTGTGTAAATTGCGAGTGGGAAATTTTACTCTTACAGAGCTCGGTTGCTCCTACTGTACACGTGCCCTCTGTCCTTCCTAAGCTACACCTACCAGTTTTATCTGTCGCAGACCACAGACCAGTGTTTTGAAGTGTGATGCAGTGACATTTGCGTCACGCAGGACACAATGAACGCGTTGAGCCAGATTCACTCTGATTGGGTAAAGCCAACTGCTCTGATTCCATTACTGCGTGAGCTGTTTAGAGTCTAGACTGATCAACCGCGTCTGCACGTTTATCACTGATCAACTTATTGATCATTCTCCATTGTTAGCTAGGCGCCAACTCACATAACTCGACTTTGTTTCTGACCGATTGAATGCAGCATTCTTCATCGTAGACCTGTCTGTTATACACCGACGCAAACTTTTGAGAACCATACCATCGTTTACTTATGATACGCCGCCGAACTGAAGGGCTTCATTTATCACCAACCAACCCCCTACTCGGGGCCCATTATCCTTGTCTCGACAACCTATTGTTTCCGCAAATCTTGTGAAATGCGTGTCTTGAGGTGACCAGTTATCTCAACTTGTCGCCCACACCGATGCACTAACTAAGGGTATGTGTGCTACCAACCAGTGTGTTGTTGTGGCATCCGTCGTGCGATCATACGTGCGCCGATAAACTGACTGCATTTTTTTACTCGAGGTCTGGTTACGGTTCTGCCTTTCACACAGTGCTGGGCTTCTGTCAAGGCTGTCATGCTGCTAACAAATAAATTTGAGTGAATCACTTCCAGTCCGAATCGACAGCTTGAATGTTTCGCACAGGAACAGGTCGGTGCGGGGCATCTTTTGATTGGTGGGTACATCAGGATAGTACCTGTTGCATGGTAATCGGCCGCACGGCCTGAGCTCGAGTAATGTGTAGAGAACAAAGAACATATTCACGACAAGACGGACGATAAAAAAGCACAGTCTGCATGCTATTGATTGTGGTTCTGTGCCATGACACGGAGCATTCGCTTATCTTCCGTTTTTTCACCCACTTTCTCTCTACCTTACAATATCCACTACTACAAGCTGCGACGATGCGAACCACCGTACATGTGTACACAGTTCACGGTTGCTAAACTGATCTGAGCTGAGCTGAGCTGAATACTGCTTACACACCACCAAATTCGTATTATCAGAGTCCTCATTATTCCGCGCTACGTCATCTGAACTCCTTTTGTCCAGCTCCTGGTCTAGCAATAGGCGTGTCAGGGTGGAAGACGGGTTAGTATCCATCCAAGTTTGTTGTACGCAGTTTGCGGAGTTTTTGTGTACCAGGCATATCTCATCGACTCTACTCACACGATGTTTCCATAAATTGAGCAACATTGCTTCTCCTACATTGGTGGTTGAAAATTATCGGGTTTTGAATATCGGAGGTAAGAGTAGGCTAGGTCTCACTACCATACAAAAACAAGTTTAACGTTTATATAACTGATGGCCGTGCGGTTGGCGTTTGGTTTACAAACGTTGGTTTCTCATGATGCGCAGAGACAGATTTGGCATAGAGCTTATATTCGAAAGTCTCTAGATTCACCTACCAGTCGAAGTTGTTTTCTGTCCAGTCTGCTCAGCTAACTTTCGGGGTCCAGTTGTGGAGCATGGAAGTGAACTACAGATTTCGGACATGGCTGTGACAGAAGAGAACCTTAAGACTACGGACAATCGAGACAAGAAACCCATCTATCGTTAAGTTTGAATCGAATTATAGCACTCCTCGGTGTAACCACCTCTCTACCTTCACCGTCCATGCTTTCGTTCCCGATTGGCTTTACTCCGCATCGAAGCCCACTCCTCTAAACCCACTTGAAACGGAGTGCCTTCTGGTCGACCTGGTTTTTGCTGTCTGATCAACGTTCAAATCCTCAAATGGGTGTGTTGTTTTTCTAGATATGACAGACCAAAGGCCAAACCTAGACGAATAGACAGCCAGACAGTCACGGAATCGATAGCGCGACTAGGAATGCAAACGCATTTCTCACTCCCTAAGGCGAATTCATGAGCCACGAGTGAATCCGATCGTATGCGATAGCGACTATTTTTAATATAGCAATCGATGAACTCATGGATCGTAATTCTCAGTCACTGTTCATATCGGTTGCTCGTTAGAGAGTTTTGCATCTCCGTCTGATTAGGATATTTTGAACGACCTCGTTTTCTTCTGTTGTAGCACCACTGCTCGTACGGGTTAATCCATTTCGTCTCAGTTTTTATGTCACTCCACTTTTCGACTTGCTAGATTTGCGCACAACCTAACTTGACGGTTTGTGACCATGGTGCAATACGACGACCACGTTGTCGATGGACCACGCCCTCAACATATCGATAGCATGTAAATTGAACGCAGAGTTAAGGGGTGCCAATGTGCCAGACAGTGTATAAACATTGCGTAACAATAACCGACAAAAATGTAAGGGTAAAAGTTGAGTGGAGAATAGAGTTTATAGACAAATCCACGGCAAAAATGTTATACATGTACGTCATTAAGTACGATTCCAGACCGTGTGTGTCATTTTTCTAGTCAATTATGGCATTTTCTTAGGCCCCCATTTGGGGAACCTGTTTGTCCCCACAGGAGACAGTCGAGCTGAGATTGTTTTCATGTATCTTTGCCGCGTTATCAATTGATCATCCCAGCGTCTTCATCACCCCCGCCTGAGCTTGCAGTAACAGTGCATCATGGTCTCTCTGCTCCTCAGTCTTTCCGAGTATCTGGAGGTTGGAGGAACTCAACTTTGGTTCAGAAGCATGGTTCGTTGGCGGTCAGCTGGGGTTAGCTATAGTAATCCAGTGACCGGAAATCCTCTCAGTAATAATTCAAATAAGGCTTGGTGAACTCAAGATGGATGCCGAATCATTCAAGTTGTTACAGCATGTGAAATTAGGGTTTCCGGTGGATCGAGATGTCCCATTTGGTCGTTGGGCCGCAAGCAAATAAAAAATGCATACCAACATAGTAAGGGGTATAGCAAGGGGTTTTACCCGAATTCGACGGTTCAAGAGCCTGATCAGCGGAACAGTGGGATTCCCTATCCGAGGAGAATCTACAGGCCTTGGACAGCCAAGCATTACTTGTAGGACAGTAGAGGAACTTGCAATGAACGGTTGAACAGCACCGCTACCGTGGGTTTTGTATCCCGCCCGATCCTCTGGAGTTGACTTATGTTCATGCTACTGTTAGTTTTGAACCAGGGTTTAACCAGCTCCCCTAGATGGACAAACCAATCGACCATCAACCGGATTGCAGCACCTGGCTCACGCTTTTAACCTTCCGTTTTTGTGAACCAACATCCGTGCCACGAGAAGGCAGTGAATAGGTACTTCTGCACAGATGTCATATGATAACAGGTCTCTCGGCTGCTGTTTAGTGGTGTGCAGCTTTAGAGACACCCACCACCATCCCGAGATGTTTGGCGGCGCTACTCACCTTTGATGTTCCTACTATGGAATCCCTGTTGTTAGTTGCGATGCATTCGTTTTATCCGTAACGTGGCATTTTCACATAAGTGAGTATTTTTTTCCCGGCCACTGAAGTGTTTTTCTGCTTAGGCCGATGTGACCATCCGTCCATAGTGATGTCAAAAAGAATGGAACTAGACCGAAGTATGTTTCCAGTGACACCTGAATCAACAGAATGATGAAAATAAAATAGGTTTGTTCTGTTTCACACCACCTATCGCGAAATTTCAGTTGGGCAATGTTTTTCGCGTTACTGACTAGCTGTAGATTCTTCCAATCTAATTTGTTGTCACACCCTCATTTGTGCACCTTTTCAGACCGATTTACTTGTCTGTGATGCCTGCGACAAGGGCTTCCATATTGAGTGCCATGTCCCCAAGTTAGAAGAACCAGTAGACCGCAGTTTACCTTGGGTTTGCGCAGAATGCCAAAAGGAGGGATATTCTGTTGCGATTGGAACACTACCCGGTGAGTCTGATTCCAAGTACGAAGACTGTACCAACTTTGGCACCGAAGAAGGAGGGAGCCTGCATCACAATGAGGACGAGGCCCGATGCAGTCAAGATGAAAATGAGGCCAATGACGAATCTCAGCTATCAGAAACAGGGACTCTTCGTTCATCTAAAGTTGAGGACTTGAGAGAGGATCAAGAGCTAGCGTTAAAGGGTGAAGCACGCTCCCTGGATAGAGACGCTGAGGTAATCTCCCCAGGCACTTCCCCGACACCTACCCCGAACTACCTTTCCGAGTCCAACCGTTTAGCTACTCCAGATTCCACCGTTCAGAGTGTCTCCCCAGCCCCCGAGGCTCCAGCGATGAGACAACATACCCCACAAGAAAGATGCTCGTCGAGCGATGGACAACGCAGTACACCTCGTCAACGACGTGGTTCTTCTTCTTCTGAACAAAGCAGGTACGGATTTGCAAACCAAAGTGGTTTTTGTTGTATCTGTAAAAGTATGACCGAATCACACTCTCTCATTTCAGATTGTGGAACTTGTAGTATTGCGAATTTTTTCCAGACCTCGTAGGTTTCACTCCGCAAACTCCCTTCCAAGCTTGATTGTGCTGGTTGAATGAGTCCACGTCTCGATCACTAGTACAAAGACCAACCTCAGTGGGTACGAGTCAACTCACGTATCATCTCTGTGACCTGGGATGTCCGCCTCAAGTCGCCTAGTGCTCCACGGAATGGCCATTTACAGGAAACACTTCCTTACCAAACTCTTGTTGGCAAGACTGCTCCCAATCTCGGTTACTTTCCGTAACTTAATGCAAGCTGTCGGAGGTCATAAGCACGTAACTATCTGCTATCGAAAAATAAGTTACTCTTTACCGAGGAGTAACTAGGTTTCACTCCGCAAACTCCCTTCCAAGCTTGATTGTGCTGGTTGAATGAGTCCACGTCTCGATCACTAGTACAAAGACCAACCTCAGTGGGTACGAGTCGACTCACGTATCACCTCTCTGACCTGGGATGTCCGCCTCAAGTCGCCTAGTGCTCCACGGAATGGCTATTTACAGGAAACACTTCCTTACCAAACTCTTGTTGGCAAGACTGCTCCCAATCTCGGTTACTTTCCGTAACTTAATGCAAGCTGTCGGAGGTCATAAGCACGTAACTATCTGCTATCGAAAAATAAGTTACTCTTTACCGAGGAGTAACTTCACTCTACACAGTGCTCCCTGTTTGTGTCTTGGAGGTGTTTATGAATGTCCACGATAAGTTCATGAGGAAAAGCGGAAATGTCCCTTGTTGAGGGGTCCTTCCTCGATCGTATCAATCCGTGTCTTGCTGTTTGGTAACATCTCAGTCATCGTCGCAAGGTAACAGAGAGCTGGTGTAACTTTATGTCACTAACTGCTTACCTTTACTCCACTTTCCCTTACTCAGTGTGCTGTAAGCAACCTAGTGCAGCATTTCACATTCGTCACTCAGCATCTGCTGACTTGCTATACTCAATGGTAGTTTGAGAACCACCACTCATTTGTGGAGCATTAGATATCTCCTGATTTGTTTTCCACTTTCTTGTTTTCCAGGACTCCGGATACGGGTAATTGCTCGCGTTTAGACCACAATGTCAAACATTTGGAACAGCTTACACACACGAATACCGATGAATCATCCACCGTTCGAGATCAAACTACGATAGATGCATACGACACTGGAGACACGGGGCGTGAATTCTCGCAAGATACCGCCCACTACCGTCCCCCTGACGTCCGAGCCTGGTCTGTAGAGCATGTACGCGAATGGCTATTAGAGGAGGGCTTTCCGCGCGAAGCCGAAGCCTTCTTCCAGCAAGAAATTGACGGCGCTTGTCTGCTGCTCATGAAGCGCATGGATGTACTCACTGAACTGGGAATCAAGTTAGGTCCTGCTGTGAAAATTTACGAGCGCATCAAACGGTTACAGTCCGGATGCACCTCACCTACTCTCCTCAGTGCATAGCGTGCTGAAACTATTGGCATCCTGTAATACCATCCGGTTTATTGTTTTCTATCCTTTTTCTCACTACCGCTCAATTGCCAAAACATGACCACAACAACGCTATTCCTGCCTTCCCTAGGTTTTTTCCAAACCTAATAACTGCACGACCTGGAATTTAGTTGCATCAATTTGATTATTCACTGTGCCTCGGGATTACTAGCACGTACACGTATGTATACACACACATTTGCACATTCCCAGTGGAACTACGAGTATCTGCCCAACGGTCATAGCGCTGTTTAATTTAGGTGAAAAAGAGTTAATCCAAATATATACGATAACAACTTCCACGAACTCTAAATAAGTACAGTCAATACATACTTGTAATTCTTCACTGTTTTTCTTCTGTGAGGCCAACTTTTCAATTTTTACCTCGTTATTCGATATTCACCAATATAGTTTTTATGCATTTATTATCGCTGCACTCGTTGGGCTGGGTGATCAATTTGAGGTTTCTGCCCTATCAAACCACATCGAAAAAGTAATAGGCCATTCGAGATATATAGCCAAAATAGGTCTTGAAAAGGAGGTTGAATGGCACTAATTGTTGAGCTTTAGGTTTCAATACAGAAAGACTGGGACAGAAACCTCTCTACCATCCCCTCCTCGCATTTCTCATGAAATGAGTTTTCCCTGTAAAGTGTTTTTGTGTGATTTCAAATGGGAAGAGCATTGGCAATCGGATGTCTTCGGGTGACGATCCTATAAAGATGATCGCGAAAGTGATGATTTCCAACTTGGGCAGTGCCAGCGAAAGTGTTTCTGTCTTGACAACAAACTAATAAGAGAGATAAAGCAGCGCTCCGTTGTAGTAGTTTGTAATTTCTATTTGATATTGGTTTATCCCTTCCGACAGTCACGTTCCAAATACGAGGAGATGCACATTGAAAAACGTGAGTTGTCGTTCTGGCTTTGGCCGATTGGTATGATAGTGTGATTGCTACTCGCGTGCAGAAATTCAAATCGGGGCGAGAGCACACCGGTAAAAATTCATTACCACCGCAGAACGACATCAGCTACGGATACAGTCTTTGGATATTGACAACACGGCTTGACGAGGGGAAACTCATTTTGGACAAAAAGGTCCATAAACGCGTGTTGTGCAGCCATTCGGTTTAAACTCTCGAATAGTGGTTAATAATCTCGTAATATCATCAGAGCAACAAGGCCTGTGGAAGGGACAGTCGTTCAGCCATCTCCTAGAGGCCAACGAGCCGATAGAAATCGGTTAGAAAATCACATACAAGGCTCTCAACGGACAGGAATACCAGGGCCCACCACGCGTATTTGGAGGTCAGAAGGCTGGAAATGGGTTTCGTCGAAACAGAGATAATGCAAATGGCTTCTGTCATGACTAGAATCGTATTAACTGTAGCGTGGTGCCTGTGGACAAAAGGACAAGGGACGTCTGTCCACTCGTACGCACTGTGAGTTGAGTTGGTCAACAGAGGTTCAACAAACGCACTGTATGTGCCTTTGAGAAGTCAAATAGAAGTAGTAAGTAGTGGGGAGATTTTGTCCTTTCTTTCTCAAATGAAAAACTTTGCTATGAGGGGAAATGCACAGCTCATAAGTCTTCCGAAATTTCAGTTTGTAGGCGAGATGGATAGTGCTCGGTTCGGTGCACTGTTGGTGTCTTTTGATTGATGATAGTCACCTGGTCAACAACTAATTCCCTTTATTTAATTGGCCAGTCGATATGGACAGGGGCTAACATCGATAGCTCCGCCACAGCGTTATCCCGCCACTTCTTGAGTTAATTTGGTTTGATGAATAGTGTATCATGGTAGCTAGCAGTTTGGAGCGCGACACAATCTCAATGCGAATTGAAGACAGCACTAAGCACGGTAAAGTGTTTCTAAATTTGCAGGGTTCCTGATGAAAACTTTATATTGTAAGAACATGTTCTTATTCCTTAACTGCTATGCAGCCGTGTCATGTGGACGTAGTTTCCGACTTTTTGTCAAATTAGTCGGTTCCTGAACACTGAAGTGGACGCTTGTGAAGTTTTAAGAACTTATTCCTTAACTGCTATGCAGCCGTGTCCCACTTATTTGTAGTGAGCCGAGTATCAGGAACTAATGGTAATCGAACGGGTTGATCTTAATGCCGTCGCGTACTTACAAAGGCTTCGATTGTTCTAGGATATTCTGACCGAAGAGGAAACTATCAACACGCCTTGATACAAACTGTAAAAAACAATGGACTCTTCATTAGGAAGGTTTCTGGAGCTCCAAATTACATTGATGGCCCCACCCAAGAGGAAATACCTTGGTCAAGAAGATATCGGTGGGGGTCTAATTCACTGGTAGGAAGCCCCAAGAACTGAGCCAACTCCAGGTTATCAAAGCTTAGACAAGAAAAACTGATCATTCGACCACGAAATCGAACCACGGATTTCCTGGTCAATTTCGTACTAGTCCGAGCCAAAAACATCGGTTAAACTAGACGTTCATGCAGCCGTTGCTCCCCTCTTCGATGCTGTAATACTTATAGGGTTGATTTATTTATTCAAGGTTAATTCAAGGTTATAATAATTCAAGGTTATAGGGTTGATAGGGGCTCCTTGACTGGTAACTACTGGTGTTTTCATTTTGAAGCTCATCATGTGGACGTAGTTTCCGACTTTGTCAAATTAGTCGGTTCCTGAACACTNGTTTTAAGAATGAATGAGGCTCAGCTAATGACTGTAACGCACAAAGACTGTCCATGTTTCAGTGACAAACATCCAAGATATGGGAATCATTTTCCTTTGCACCATACCACTCATGATGCTGATTGGATCTCTTAGATAGCCCTAGACTGGTCCTTCCCTTTTGAAGCTCATCGTGTAATCTCCGAATTTCAACCAGCGTTATTTCTTACTTGAGCACCGGATTGTACGTAAATGAAGTACGACCAAAGCACAAATGAAGATGGTGCATAACACATTCCATTGGAGGGTAGAATGAACGAAAGTTCATTTGAATCTCATTTGCTTCTGTCATTAGGACTATCCCAGTTTGCAAATGAGTCTTCAACTCAATGCACGTCCGTGTGTATTACGAGCCGGATATGTGCACTAATTATTGGGGCTTACTGGAAAACAGTAGCGCGAAACGATCGATGCCGTTTTACAATGGTAACTAACTCGATGGGAAAGAAATGCGCGGAGTTTGTTGAGAGTTGGAGTGTGGCTACACAGTGAGACCACAGATCACATTGGTCAAGTGCCACCGTGTGCACGTAAACTCCACAAAAATAGGAGCATTCCTTGTAATGTACTATTCATAAGGTTGCTGAAAATCCGTCGACAGCCCACAATCGGTTTCGCCCTTTTTGGGGGGCTTATCACGTAGGCGCAGTCTCGGGTTTCCGTCAACCTTATGTTGCCTGAAAACATTACAAACGAGAGATTCAGCTGGGTTCCAGGTGAGCCTCTCGAAAAACCAAATTAGTTTGCGAATGAGTGTATATTCGCCAGGAGCATTCCTGTTTTTCACCAAAAATGAAACAAAGTGTATTCTGGTCGGCAGACAGCAGATACCATCGGGAAATAAATACGGAATTCAGAAGAATATTACTCGAGGACACTTATAGGAAAACACAGGATTAGGCTGTAGGGTTCAACATTTGGAAATCGATGTGACAATTCACGTTTCATCCCACCAACTATTGTATCTTGCGTCTCCTGGGTGTTGTGGATTGGCCAGCTTGATATCTCGATCCTAACACGTCTGGGTGTTCTTAGGGGCATGCTAGCATATCGAGTGTACACAATGTCTCCAAAACTGATTTGGTCTTAAAAGGGGATTTGAAAAGTTTTGGTCATATACTATTAGGAGCCTGTTACATGTATTGTGAAGTGTTTGTAGGGGTTTTGAGAAGAATGACTGGATTACATCAAAAGTTCACTCGGTGAGACGACACTTAGGACGGTCTCATCTTGTCTCGCTTGTTTTTCCTCCTTTCACTAGGTGCTGGCATCTAGTGGTGACAAATCATTTCGTTCCGTACAATCGGAATAAAATTGTGATGAGAGTGCATCGATGGTCTTTTAACTTTATTTCAGGAAGTATTTACGTTCTTCCAGGCTAGGCCGTTTGTTAGATCAATATCTTTCGTCTGTCTGCTTATCGATCACCTCACTGCCAGCACACTTACTCGTTTGGACGTTTTCGGTTTCTTGCCAAGTGCATTCATGATACAAGAACAATAATTTCTGCTGTTTCTGTTAAAGTCATTCCACATCTTGCTTATTTCCAGAACCATATATTTGGCGACACTAATATCAATAAACGCTTCTGTTGAGTTTTCATAGACAGACAGCACCACTTTCCGAGGCTGGATCCGGTCGAGGTCAATTTAAAGTCATTCCACATCTTGCTTATTTCCGAGGCTGGATCCGGTCGAGGTGAACGCATTAAAGATACCAATCGATCACGAAATACCGTAGATTAACCCACCCGGGCAAAGCAGATAGTGTCATTTCGATGGCTTAAAATTAACTAAGCAAACAAATCAGTTTATGTAAAATATTCGCTCTCTATGAGGCACCTTCGATGAAGGGAAACCTCTCACTTGGGGACATTTTCGACACTTTTCTGGCACCTTTGGCATTAGAGATCTCTGTATCTTCTAAATTGGAAAACTTTGGTGATCAGCACAGGTTTACAGTAACTGATACCCTCAAAAAATCACGCTAGTCTATTAAATTTCGACTGTCGCTCATGCCTACTGGAAATTACCTGGCCAAGGATGCGAACCCGAGCGTAAAATAAGTTTTTTTCAGCGCAACATCCCGGGATGCCGAGAACAGCATAGTCATAAACGTCACCATTACTTACTACATCCCTTCGTGCAACTGTCGTCTAAAACACAATTAGTCGATTTCAGAAATGCCTCAGGCGCGGTTTCCGATCACGAAGATCGGCCGCCAGGTCTGCACAAATCACCAATTAGGATCGGCTTCAATGTTGGATTCCTTACCGTGCGGAGACCGAGCTGCAGCCTATCGTTCTTGACCTTAATGACCCAAGTTGTAATTATTTATTAGTTGTTGCTAGTTATCCGAAGCGGAGAGGTCCTCCTTGATATATATGCTCCTAA